TGGTAAGATTCTTGAAATAAGAAAAAATTGAGTCAAATCAAGTATTTCAAGAATCTTACCAAGACAAATAATCTTACACATTGTGAAAACAAGATGATTATTCTTACACAATCAGTTCTTGTTTAGTAAATCAGTCTGAAAACAAGATCAAAAAGACTTTTTGGCTGATATAAGGTTTTAAAACTTGGTTAGGTGGACAGTTTTTGCAGTGTAGTAGCTGAGAGTTATCCTCAGCACACCATATTTGCATCTATAGCTAATTAAGTTTTAGAGTCAGCAAGAGTTTCTGCAGCTAATCAACATTAGTAACACATACATGGTTCTGATGCACTCATTTCTACAGATAATTAATTAAATCTGGTCTAAACCTGCAGCAGCTGTGTAAAAAGCTGCAGTGAAATGACGCCTGGTTCCAAAGTTTACCTTTAAAAGCTCATTTCATGGGTCCTGCTGAGGAGTTAATAAATGCACATTGTACAGGAAGTTTGGGTTTCATTAAAAAGTGAATTAAAGCTCATGTAAGTTTATCGTTGCTGCAGATAAAGGGAGGAGAAAGTCGCTGAAGTCAAACAACACTGACGGAGCTAGCTAAACTTGTATGTTTAAGCTTTGATTTACCGCCTTTAATGTGGCTCAACGAAACTCAGACCGGGAATAAAACTTTAGTCACATCGTACGGATCGATATCATAACTAAAAATCTGTCTTCAACTCATGTATGATGTGATAAAAACAGAGGTTTTGTGTAAAAAAACCACTCTACCTGCTGTGAAAATGAGCCGTCAGAGTGGAGCAGGTCAGTGGACGCAACCATTTATCCAAACACGGGGGTGTTTACACTTTTAGTCACCTTTCTACTTTCTTGTTTTTGCGCCGAATGAGTAAAAGTTTTTGCTAAATAAGTAGTTTATATTCAGGTTTAAAAATATGATTTAAGAAACTTAGATAGAAGACAATTTTTTAGTCAAACCAGGACAACCGGGACACAAACACCCCTGCTGAATGTAACAGTCCATGTTAGTTAAAACACAACACAATCTTCTAGTTCAGTGGTTCACAAACTTTTTATCTTCTGACCCACAAAATATCCATGGTAAAAACTTGTGACCCCAAATATTACTGGTCTGAGTACACAAACTTTGTTAATAACCCTAAAAACATAGGTTTTTGAAAATCTTAACAGCTTGTACACAAATATAAATACTTATTTATACTTATTTTGTGTTTTTGTAATTATTACAGAGAAAATATTAAATCAGCAAATATTTTATTACCCTTTAAATTGATTTCTGGAGATTTTCCAAGGTGCTTCATGACACATAATTGGGTCCCAAGCCCAACTTTGGGAATGGGCATAGTAACAATATTTATATACTACATTTATCCATTTTAAATACACTAACCTCACTCATCTGTAACAACTAAGGCAAAAATATAATTAATTCAGAAAATATTTTCAGGACCCCACTTTTACGTTTCGGGACCCCACTTTGGGTCCCGATCCCAACTTTGGGAAACACTGTTCTAGTTTAATATATTTTCCTCTTTTTTATTTTTTATTTATTATTTACATTGATATGTTTTTTATCTGTACAATATTTAGGAAGTAATTCATAAAGTTGCCACTAGATGTCAGCATCGGAACATATCCAGTTTATCTGTACAATGGCTTCACATTTATATTTACTAGATATAATATATAATTTTTTAAGTGTTTTTTTTTCCTTATGGCGCAAACGACCTGATTGCAGATGCTACAGGACCAAAATACTGCTTTTTAATTTATGCATTTTTATTTACTTATTTATTTTCAGTTAARATTAAAAGAGCAGGGCCGCTTCAGCTTGGTTCCTGCAGACGTGTTGGTGTCCTGAGAGCTTCTGGACTGGATAAATCAGGGTGTTAATCCTGAGTTTAATCCCATTAAAGGCTGTCTGTTGTTGGGATCTAAAATCTCAGATGTGATGAGGAAGACAGGGATAAAGACTGCTTTTTTTCCCTCAGGTAAACCTGAGAAATGAAGACAAAACAAGAGCCTCAGGGGCGGATAAGAAACAAAATAAGATTAATTT